GAGGGGGGGGAGGACTTTGAGGGGGGAGGGGGTAAGGGAGTTTGGGGGCCACTTGATCAATTTTAGTTGGCATAAAAGATAGTGATTGGTGATCTTGATGTATTTTATGATTTGATTACTCCGTATATATAATTCAATCTAATTCAATCCCTTTTAATCCTATTAATGTACTATAAGTGTCCAATTAATCCAATTAATATCCTATAAATGTCCTATTAACATCCTATTTCTTATGTACCCTTATGTATTAATGTAGTAAAAGGTTACAAAAGGTTGCAAAAAGTTGCAGTCTCCACTAAATCCCACCAGGTGGACGTCTTGGCATCCGAAGACCCTTTGAGGGAACCCTTCTTCTTCCTTTTTCTCTTCTTCCTTTTCTTTAGATGGGGATGTGAAGTATATATGATATATATACATTTTCATTCATTTCATTTCATATATATATACACACACATATATATCATGAAAGTCGTTCACGCTGTCCATGCTTATTTAAGCCACGGCATCCGACGTGTTCGTCACTCTCCTGGCGAGACTCTGGATGCCGTATGGGACTTTGCCCGTCGTTATTTCTTCACTTTGGCCGTTCTCTCGTTATTCAGTGCCAAATTACTTCATCTTTATGCTCATATATACTCTCTACCTCTTCCCCGACTATTTTTATGGGGTCTTACCTTCTTTTTCCAAGATGTGGTGATACTATTACTGTTTCGCATTCTCGCTCAGAAGGTCGCGTGGCGACCGGGAGCCGCCCTGCTTGCCATCTTGGTTATCCCCTCTAGGTAAGTGTCCACGTGCCCCCTTTTTCAACTTCATTCTGGCATTCACATGGATGTTAATTGATCGGATCTGATCGGATCGGATTCAATTCAATTCAAAAATTATCTAACAATATGCTACAGCCTTATCGTCTCCTTCATGGCTGCCGCCAATACCTCCTTTTATGTCTTCACCGGTGCCGAGATCCACTGGCGCCAAGCCAAATCCTTCAATGGTGATGCCGCTGCCATTCATACCCTACTCACCGGTTTGACCGGGTTTTTGATTGTCGAGGGCATCCTTTTAACAGTCTCATTGTTTGCTGCTCATTCCATTCATGCCATCGCTGGAGGAATCCTGCATGTCTGGGCCTGGCCCGTTCGATGGTTGTTTGCTCGTGTGCGACCGCACGTGGAGCCCCTGGTGCAGCGCTTCGGGCCATCCAAATCCCCAGCACCGGACCTTCCCGACCCTCGAATCTACGAACAAATCTCCATGGATGAAAACGATGATCTCAGTGATAACGAAGAGGGGGATCATCTCTTGAATACCGCTCGACTACCCAACCGCCTCCCGAAGTCCAAGCGAGTGACCGATGGCGTACCCCAACGGGCCCTCATCCTCGGATTGTTCGGTCTCTTCCTCTTCCTCCGCTTTATGCGACCATGGGACCCGGTATACATGTACATGTCCACCACCCTGCCCTTGACTCCCGTCATTGAGGGTGCGGAGCGTCACTCCCCCGTCGATACCACCGGCATGCCGGCAGGTTTCGATTATTTGGATCGGGCCACTGCATTGCGCCCGGCACCCCGGTGGAGCTGGATGTCAAAGGAACCCATCGCCGGGTTCGACGATTGGGATAAATCCGATCCCCTCGCGCTTCACTACAACCCGCAAGAGGACCCATTGCACATCTCCAACCTCGACAAGCCGGTGCTTGAGGAGATTCACAACGCATTGGCTAGCGGCGATGTCAAGATCAAGCATGTCGTTTTCTTGAAACTCGAGAGTGCACGTGCCGATATCTTCCCCCTGCAAAAGGACAGCTTCATGTACAAGCGCATTGCGGAAACATGGAAGGACAAGACGATCCCCCCAGAGGTTGTAGATCGCCTGTCAAACCTCACCCGCACTGCCGAGTTTTTGACCAACTTCCCCAATGGGTTTGAGCACGACAATGCCCGTTTCGGCCGCAAAGCCTATGGTGGCATCAGCGCCAAAGATGCCATCACCTCTTCCACATATACCCTCAAGAGTTTGACCGGAAGTTTCTGTGGTGTGACCCCACTGGTCGCTGACTTCAACCGCGAATTCGAACATCATATCTACCAACCATGTCTGCCCCAAGTCTTTGACATGCTCAACCAGCAACCGGATATTACTAGCGAGACGGATGACTTCACCAAATGGCCGTGGCATTCGACCTTTATGATGTCTGTCACCGAAATGTACGACAATCAGAACAAGTTGACTCCCCACTTGGGATTCCGTGACAAACAGACCAAGGAGACCATCATCAAGCCCGAGGCCAAGCATTATCCTGTCACCAGTGCCGAGGTGAACTACTATGGCTATCCGGAAACTGAGCTTCGAGAGTACATCCGTGATGCCTTCGATGATGCGGAACGGGACCACCAGCGTCTCTTCCTCACCCACCTCACGAGTACCACTCACCATCCGTGGGGAGTTCCAAACGACGCCTATGAAGATATGATGGGCTCAAAATCCGGGGCTAACAACGATATGAATCGATACCTGAACTCGGTTGGTTATGTGGATGATTGGCTTTCAAATCTTCTCGATATCCTAGAGGAGAAGGGAGTTGCCAATGAGACCTTGTTCGTCATGGCTGGAGATCACGGTCTTTCCCTCCCCAACGATGGCGGTATCACTCCCTATGACAACCCCCACGTTGGTAGCTTCAAGGTCCCCATTGTGATTGCACACCCTCAACTCCCTCCCGTCCAGATTGACACCCCAGTCATCAGCACCCAGATCGTTCCCACCATCATCGACTTGTTGATCGAGTCGGCATCCCTCAGCCAAGACAGCACACGTTCTGCCCGCGATATTCGCTCGCTGTACGAAGGTCAATCCCTGATCCGACCACAGGTCGTCGAGCACGACGGACGCGAAGCCTGGCATTTCACAGTCATGAACACCGGTGGTTCATGGCTATCTGTTCGGTCGGCTGCCCGCCCTGAGTTCCGCCTGGTGATCCCGCTAGTCAATGACGTGGAATGGCGCTTCTCCGACGTGTCCAAGGACCCGAACGAGCTCAGCCCGATTGAGCGCTTCAGTCTTGCCGATCTAGCGGCCGCACTCGAGAAGGAGTATGATAATGAAGAAGTTCTCGGCTGGCTCTACAACGCAGCCTATGTCACGAACTGGTGGGTCCTGGAGAACTGGGACCGATGGAGATACTCCCCAAAGCCCAAAGAAGAGCCCAAAGAAGAGCCCAAAGAAGAGCCCAAAGAACCGGCGAAAGAAGAGAAACGCTAAGCGTTCTTATGAACCGACTTAGGCGCCAATCTTGATTTACATTTCATCTATCTTAATACTTGCATGCCTTATCTACCAAGTGTCTGCTTGGGATGGGCACTCTGGGTTTGCGACAATGTCGCCATGGCGGTCCCGAGCATGGGGTTCGGGAGCGAATCGAGCACAGCTTTGCCGGGTCCATCGTGAAGCCTTATGTTGATCGTTTGGTTCACAGTCAATCTCAAGAATGAGACACCGTGTGTCTCAGGATGTGAGCTCCCGGCAAATCAGTCTGGCATGTCGTCCGGAGTAGAAGCGATTCTTCTTCATGTACTTGTTTATATATTCATCCTACCTATCGCGAACACCTGTACCTGATCATAACTGGATGTCAAATTTTTTTGTTATATTATTGCAAATATCACCTTGTTCTCTCGCCTTGAACATCTTTTCATTCCACGTAAATGTCTTCGATAGGTCAAGTAATCTAAACTAACCTTATTTAGGCTGGCGGCTGCACCTGTAAAGGAATCGATGGTCCACGGGATAAGTTTTTCAGCTTCTATTGACTTTCTTTTTTAAGATGTTCCAGGGATCTATGAAGGGTATCATCATATGTGGGACACGATGTACATACTACGTATACTTACACCGTTTGCGGATATACATTTTCATAAACTAATCAAGATTTCATGATCACTACCACACACTATAAAATGAACAACTCACATTTATGGAAGTAAGAATCCATTTCAGTTAGTGAATTGCTCCGACTAAAGTGCACGATTTTATAGTTGATGTAAAGCCCAGTGCCTGTTTAACCGGAAGGGAAAGCCCGCGTTAACTAGTACCCTCTGGACCTATGACGTGTTGCCAAGAGTCTTAGCTTTCAAGGGCATGCATCCTCTATGATCCGTACGGAGTATACGAGTTACTATATATGAACCACCTTAGCAATTTACAAGTGGATTTAGTGTTCAATTGAAAAAGACAAGATCTGTTCTTTGCTCTGAGGATCTTGACTTTCATTTCCCAGGAGGTAAAAACCTATTGAACAGATGGATCCATGTTCTACATTACTGTTACTCTACAGAGTAATATGTACGATATACGAAGGCGGTAAGAGGTATAAATCATATGTCCATTAGTATACAACAGAAGTATGTTGTGCAGGACTTTGCTATGTATAACCTTTGATATATTGCCTAATTATGTCCAGCGACGGGGCAAATTCAAGTTGCGAAGATATGGACTTTGAGAATCATAAGAGGGAATACAACCAAGTTAGAGGTCATCTAGAAGTGTGTGACAACTGTTATTCATGGACATTAAAGTATTGCGCCAATGATCAAGGTACGCCCACAAGTAATATGTACAGAGGGACTCGATGGGAGACCCAAAAGTAAACAAACAGGAAAAGGAGAAGCAAGAACCAAGTTAGTTCTGATTTCCGCCACGCCGATTAAATGCTGTAGGTTTTGACCAAAGAAAGCACCCGGCGTGCCGGGGATGCAAGGAAGACTCGAGAGCCTCATTGCTCATGTCTCATCGCTTCATGCAAACAAAGGAGATGAAAAAAAGAAAAGAACAAAGGAAAATCGTGGGAACGCCATCCACAACCAATAGAGAAGCCTCCAGAAACAAGGGATATCCAACTCCAACTCATGAACAGAAATCAAAAATTAGACTAGATGACGACGACATCACCTTCGGCATCTGCAGGATCGGAGACCATCATGTCACCATATTTACCAACTGCCAGTAACATAGTGTCATCCTCAAGATCAATTGCGCTGTCATCATTGTTATGACCTTGGAAGCCCTGATCTTGAAGAGAAAGCCGCTTCTCACCGGTAGGGTGTTTGAATTCTGGATGTTGGCTGGGGGGATGGTTTTGGTGGCTATTGTGGGCCACGGGAGGACTTGGGTTGGATTTGGCTTGGGAATCGTTTGATGCGTCAAAAGGGGATGTCTCGGTAACGGACGCTTGTTTCATCTGAAAGTGGCCGATTGTTTCAGGACCAAACGTCGCACTTTGCAGTGATCCGGGGGTGTTGCGCATGAACCCGCCCTTCTCTGCTTGCCAGACCATCATCTCGTGGAAAAAAACCTTTGTCATCCACCACGCACTGAAGCTTGGTGCTCCGGCCAGAGTAAGTCGGTGCAACACGCTATCCCACAAGGCATCAACCTTTTCAATGACACACTGGGTGCGGTGGTTGGCAAAGGCAGCAGGAATGTTGAGGATGAACTGGACCCATTTGTCGGGGAAGTTGTACTCATCTCCGGGAGCGCTTTCCACGGGGAACTTGTGGGCCTCAACAGAATCGGGAGTATCAGGTTGAGTAAAGAAAAGCAAGCTCGCGGAGGGATCGGTATCAGTCAATGGAGTCAAGAGCGCACGGATATCATGCTTGAGAATTTGCTCCGTCGCTGGCTCAGCACACGTTGGAATGTTCGCCTTGGTCATCATATCCCTCGGATTGACCATAGTCTTAAAATCGGTCCACATTTGATTTCGGTTATCCGGATGGCAAAGCCAGGCGGCAGCGGCATTGGCAGCCTGGTTCACATCAAGCATGTGCTTGAGAAGATTGCAAAAGATATGCGCAGGGATCAAGCGTGCTAAGGAAACATGGTTTGGTTGGGTCTTGAAGGTCTCAGCGATATGACCGCAGAGGCGTTGTGAGATGGAGTTAAAAGCATCTAGGACTGGCTTGGGAACCACTTGGGTTGTTAGAGGCGCCACAAATGCAATCATCTTCTGGTACATCATCCAATCACATTCCTTGATCCATGGAGCAAGGTTGGGATGGGTCAACAACTTTTGAACGGGAACAGTCAATGTTCCATGGAAAGCGGAGAAATATTTCATAAGGTTTCTTTCCTTGCAATATCGGAAGCTATCGATGACCGAAATGCAGTGGGAGCGATATAGGGCAGCAAGAGCTGCAGCAACTTTCAAGTCGGTGTTTGCAGGTAAGTAGGCACGAATATCGGGAAGTTGAAGGGTATCGTTATCAATCAAAGTGTCCTCATCCATCGGGAACTGAAGCATCTGGTGTATCATTTTCCCAGCCTGCTGGGCTACATTCTCGCGGGTGATGGTTGCATCTGGCCCAGATGGAGTTTGGCCTTGGCAATTGCAGTCGGCAGGAGAGGTATTGTTCGGGAATCGAGGGGCGAATGAAGTTGTGGGAGATGGGAACACGGCAGTGTCTGCGGTCGGTTGCTGTACGCTAGCACTAGTCATTCGTTAGTGAGAGCAAATGAAGATCGATGTCAGTTATATCTCACCTTCTCGAGCGCATCGCACTTGCAGCCCTGGAGGGCATAGAAGCAGGGCCATTTGAATGATGGGCGATTTGTGGGTTGAGAGGCGCAAGTTTTTGTTGCTTTTCCTCAATGACTGACAAATCGACATAGTGATACTTGGACTCGCCTCGAACTCCAAGACGCCGAGTCTGTACATTAGGGAAGATGATGCGAACCAACTTTCCGAATGATGCAGGGTTCAGTACTGAGACGCGTTCCGTTCCACAGTTCTCGGCATAGCAACAATACACCCGGTCACGACGTACTGAACCACTGCTTTTACGGCAATTTTCTCTCAGCCTGCGCATACAGTTAGACAAATAGTTGCAAAGCATTTCCGGCAATTTGCCTTACCAAATCATCGCGAAGACCTGCTTCACTTTCTCAGCTTTGCCCCCACCGCCCTCATTCTTCATAACTTCAGCCGCCATTTGCTTGAGGGTCCATCCCTCATACTGGCGAAGCAGCTTTCGCAACTCGTTGTCGTTTGCCACCGTCGAACTAGCTCCTCTTTTCTTCTTAGCCCCTGGCTCTGAGATCTCTTGATCCTCGACAATGTGGTCCGGGAGGTGGTTTTCGACACCACTATCATACATTGGCTGATATTGTGGAACAGATACACCAGACAAGCCGCTTGCAATTTCAGGCTGTATAGGGTGATGGGAAAGCGGGTGGCCCTGCATCGTGTGATTTGGAAAGTCTTCGGCTCGAGACATCCCGGCGTGAGTGTCTTGCATTGATTGATCCAGCGGTGCACCGCTGTGATGTGAAAGCTGATGTCCAAATCGCATCAGCATGTCCTCCGGGTTGTTGAACATATGCTGGCCCGTTCCGACTTGGGATGGCATAAACTGGGGGAACCCGTCGAGGTGCTGGTCTTGGGTTTGCTGGGTGGTACTCGAATGGATGCTTGCCGTTGATCCTCTGGACCGAGGACGACGGCTAGCCCGTGAGAGGGCTTCAGAACGTGCTCGCACAGGGTCTGCAGTACCTGGCCGGCTTTGAGGGGCAATCTGTGTTGTCTGGGATACCACACTTCCCTGCGAGTGAGCTCGGGCTTGTAGGCATGTTAGCATGGGAATCAATGACCCGCATAGGATTTTTTTTTCTTAGTCCTGCATTGCACTTACCGAGTTCTGGCGGCATCATGTTCTGCTTCGTTTAAGTTAGTAAGTGGAGGAGCCGGTAACCAGGGCGATGGCCAGTCGTGTGTCTCGTTTCCCAACGTTTACAAGACCATTCAAATCCAAAATTAGGCAGGCACAACCGACAAACAAAATATGCAATCCAAAACGATGCAAGAACATTAACCAAAAAGTGACGACTTGTCGCGAGCCTTGGGCTCTGAAAGGCTAGCCGCGTTGTGTGAGTCGAGGGAGGATAAACAGAAAAGGGCCCGTTCCTCTGACAACGTTGTTTTCCCATCCAGTCACGTGCTGGCGGTCAGCATTCCTGCCAAACAAAACAACTTTTTAACAATCAGCTGAGGAATGATTCATGTTTTAACATGGGCTCAGGGTTTATTAATGCAGGTGAAATATCCCATCACAAATATATTCCATCTTGTACACAGGTTATATTCTTAAAAATATCTATCTTCTGAACTTGAGCTCGAAGGTGCTTCGGATCACGTGACCCATGTCAACAATGACCTTTATTAGGGTTTTATATAAAGCTTGGAATATCAAAACAATCAACATCTAAGGTAACATCCATAGAATAGTCATTTCCATAGCATCTATATATCAGGAAATGATCTAAAATCAGTGCGGAGGAACCCTTGAAACCCCGTTTTGAAACTCCAGGGCTTTCGGGTCCAATTACATCATTGGTTCTAACATCAACTATATGTTATACGTACGACACTTATATATACGGAGCAAACTTGGATACATATGCATCAAGTAGTTGGCTTCAGGATGTTAAAGAGGTTAGCTCTGATATACCACTATGATATCTTTTGAGATGTTCTCCTTTGGGTTACTATATTATATTATGTATATATGTGTGTATATCTCCACCACAAACACCGATAAACATTCTATATGATCGACACTACCCAG